CTCAGCCTGGCCCTCGGACCCTTGTCGGCACTAAAAGAGTCCACGAGAATATCCTTGCAGAGTTTTATTCTTAAAAGTCCTTGTGCAAAACACAACTGAATAACTATACACACCAGCACTAACCAACCAACCAACCAACCCAAACACCAGCCTCAGTCTCAGACTAACATTTCTCACTATATATATACAACCTGCTGCAAACTGCTGAGTCATGCTGACCCAGCTTTATTCGCATTAAAGAAACAGCGGCCATTTTAGCCGTGACACCGCTTCTGTTTCTTAAATGCGAAAAACCCCAACAGAAACAATACATACATACATTATATACATAAACCCAATTTTGTCATTAATTCATTGTGGCATGTTGCTGGCAAAGGCTTAGTAAACAAATTTTACTAACAATATTATCTCGTGACTGACAATACTCCAGTTTGATTACCCCATTCTGTACACAATCTCTAACATTCGCATGACGGATAGCAATATGTTTTGATGCAGATTTCATTATTTCCGAGCCCGCTAATGCAATGCACGATTGGCTATCTTCATACACTTGGATAGGCAAATCTACTTTACAATCTAGATCTTTTAGTATCTGTATAAACCACATGATTTCGTTGCATGCTAGCGATAGGCTCCCATATTCTGCCTCACAGGATGAGGTCGCAACAAATCCTTGTTTCTTTGACCTCCATCCAATTATGGAATTGGCAAACATCATAACCATTCCACTTGTAGATTTTCTAGTAGCTACACAGCTTCCCCAGTCCGCATCAACAAATACTTCTAGTTTTTCATCTTGTATACTAGATATCTTCAAACATACATTTAATGTCCCCTTTAGATGTCTGATAAGCCTTTTCAAAGCACACCAATCGGCAGTACTGGGTTTAGATACACGTTGGCTCAGAACATTTGTAGCACATGCAATGTCTGGCCTTGACCACTGGCTTAAATACAACAGTGATCCTATTTTTGAGTGATACAATTCAGGCTGATCAAATTCATCATCACACACTGTCTTTGGGAAATCTGGTGTCATGGGAGTTTGAACTGGCTTGCAGTTTTCCATGCCAAACTGCTCAATAAAACGAATAATTTTCTCTTTCTGGCTCAATAGGAAGCTTCCATCAGCTTCCTGCCTTACTTCTACTCCCAAGTAATTGCTTACAGGCCCTAAGGCTTTAAGCTTAAACCTCTTTTCCAGTTGACTTGTGAGCTTCTGGATCTCATCTGTGGAACTCCCTGCTACAAGCAAATCATCAACAAAGACTAAGAGCATTAGATATTTGTTGCCTGTCCCCTTGGTGTACAGGCATGGATCAGCCACACTCCTTTTAAAACCAAGTTTTACAAGGGCTTCATTTAAACACTGGTTCCAACACCTTCCACTTTGTTTGAGACTGTAAACAGCCTTTTTCAAACGCCAGACTGCACCATTTCCCCCTTCAAACCCAGAGGGTTGTCTCATTAACACTTCATGGTCTAAATTTGCATGCAGATATGCAGCATCAACATCAAAATGGTGCACTGCTAGTTGTCTTACAGCAGCAATGGAAAGCATTAAACGAAAAGTTTCACTCTTTACAGTGGGAGAAAACACTTCATCATAACTCTCCCTTTAATCTGAGTGAACCCTCTGGCTACTAATCTGGCTCGAAAACGTGGTTCCCCAGATGCAAACCCACTTGCATGACACCACTCTGCCACCAGGTGGCGGCATTATGACCTCAAACACTTTGTTACGTTTAAAAGAGTCCATTTCTTCTTTCATAGCTTGTTCCCACAAAGCACGTTCTCCAGGGAGTAAGTCTAAGTCTTCATTATAACTTTGTGGTTCCACACAACTCACATTGCATACTCTCACTCCTCCTAGGGTCAAACGCTGAGGAGGTACACCCTTGTTTGAACTCTGGGAGCGTCTAGGCGCTCTTCTCCCCCCCTTCTTCTTCTTCTTCTTCCCCCCTTATCTCTGGCTCTTCTTCCTCTTCCTCTAGAGAAGAAGTATTATCTATTGCCATGTCTTTTGGGGAAATATGTGCCTCCTCCTCATCCTGCTCCTGCGTTGCCAATGGCTGAGAAGAAGCCTCTTCTCTTACTTGCAGGGGCAGAAGGCAATCTGGGTTGGCATGGATCGCAGTCCATCTGTCCTGGTCAGCAAAGTCTGCGCTTCGTGACAGAACCACGCGTCCTGGGCGTAAATTGAAACGCCACCCTTTGCCATAGGACTGATATCCCACAAACCACAGTTTCTGTGCTCTAGCGCCCCCTTTCTGGCGCTGAGCTTTGGGGATATTTACATGTGCCCAAGAACCCCAGTTATGGAGCATTTTCCACTCTGGTTCTTTCCCAAACACACGATAAGGTATATCTTTTATAGAGCTTGACCAGGTTCTATTAATCAAAAAGTTCGCTGTCAGAAAAGCCTCGCCCCACAGCCTATGGTTGTGACCCAATCCTGCATCCACTAGCAGGCAGTCCTTTACTGACTGTATTACAGCCCCACGTCTTTCACACAGACCATTTTCAGCAGGGCTATAAGGGTTAGTCAAACGATGAGTGATCCCCTTACGTCGCAACCATGCTCCAAATTGTTTGTTCAGAAATTCTCCGCCCCTATCTGTTTGCAGCTGCACAACAGGCCGAGCTTTTCAGCTTGGGCAACCCATTCTCTGAATGTGGGGAAACACTCAGATTTCTGCTTTAACAAAAACAACCAACTAAAACGTGATTTATCATCTATTACCAGAAAAGCATATCTAGCGCTCCCTTCAGTCTTCTGTGGAAAAGGACCTATCACATCACAATGGACAAGTTCTAAAACCTCTTTAGATACTCTGTCACTTTTAGAAGCCACAGGCTTCCTCTTAGATTTGGCCATTTTACATACATTACAATCTAGGAAACAGTTACAGCTATTTACTTTTAGGTTCTTGCACACCTTTTGCATCTCTGAAAGCACACGGAAATTGGCGTGACCCAGTTTTCTGTGCAGTTCATGTACACACCCCTTATGAACTGGCAAATTATCCTGAACCACTTGGGCTGCTTTAACAGACTTGTCCTGCATTACATATAACCCATTTTCCAACTTTGCATGGCCACATACCTGAGTTCCATTCTTTATCAGGCAACCATCCTGCGTGAACTTAACACTATACCCTGCATTAATCAAACAGCTTACAGACAGTAAACAATAGTCCAAACTGCTGACAAACAGGGTCTCTGGTAGAGTAGTGTTCAAGCACTGCAGGAAACATGTTCCCTGGCCATCAATCTTGCTTCTACGACCATCAGCAAGATAGATTGAGTCCTTTCCATCAGCTGGCTTCCCCAGGGTCTTAAAGTCCTCCCGACTGTTGCAGATAATCCTACTGCTCCCAGAGTCCAGCAACCATGTTCCTCGAGGTATCTTCCTCTCCTCTCGAGAAAATGCAGAAACAAACTGAGCAGAACGCGTGTTCTTCCCTGAAGAGAACCCCTTCTGCTTACATTTCTGCGTCGATTGCTGTCTCTGCTGCACGTTGTCTCCTGGAAGTCTTGCCCTGCATTGACGTTGGAGATGCCCGGGTTGGTTGCATCTATAGCACCTCCTCACCGCCATGGCCAAGTCCAAGCCTTGGCGTTGCTCCATTGGCAGATTCTGCTGCTGGCCCCCTCGGCTGTAACTCCTCCGTTCTTGGAGTTCAGCCTGTCTATCTGACCTTCTTTCTGCTTCTTCAGTCACTCTTCCAACCACATACTCAAGGGTCAGATCTCGGGGACGCATACTCTCCATGCTGTTAATCACGGGCAACCAGCTTTCAGGCAAGCTTGAAAGGATAATGTAGGTTTGGTCAGTCTCATCATAACGCTTACCTCTCTGCTGTAGTTGAAGAAACAGAGATTTCAGCGTTTGAAGATGAGTTGCCAAACTCTCACCTTCTTTCATAACAGTCCTGAACAGCCTTCTGGTCAGAGAAATTATAGTTCCAGCAGTTTCTCTGACATGCATTGCCCTTAATAAATTCCAGCACTCAAACGCTGTGCTGGCATTTGCTACATGCAATAACTGAGAGTTGCTCAAACACAGCATAATTTGGGCACGGGCCCTTTCATCCAGTCGTTTTTTCTCAGCAGAGTCCCGTCTCGAAACCTCAGTTTCAACACAGTCCCATAGTCCATCTCTCCTTAACAACTGCTGCATTTTAATTGACCAACTCAGCCA